TTCCGAAGCTGCTCCGCCAGCTCTGCCAGCTCCTGCACGTGGCGGGCCTGGGATTGAGCATGTGATGTGCTGTGATGTGATGCAAAGTACACGCACATGCAAATGCAATGTTACATACTGCAATGCAAACGTAGATGCAAGTCCAAATGCAACGTAATTGCATGTCATGTCATGTCATGTAATGTAATGTAATGTAGTGTAGTGTAACATGATGTTATGTAATGCAAGCGTACATGCATGTGCAAATGCAATGTAATGTGATGCGGCAATGCTCTGTTGCGCGCGCACAGAAACATGGAAAATACTACATGACCCGCTGATTGACTTACATGCTTGACGCAAAACGCTCCTTAATGGCAACATATATGGTCAGTATGGTCAATTCGCCCTTTAGACATGTGCTTAGGTAAGAATTGAATTGCATCCAGGCCTCAAACTCCTCACCTTCAGAGTCTTCCGCAACTGGGGGCTGCATTCGCTCCGCCATGCTGTCGGAGTGCTCTGCGAAGCCCAGGCTTTGGGCCTGCTGAGCGCGGGTGGTGCCCATGGAAGGGCTTGAACTGGAGCTGGAGCTGGCAGACCCCGCGCCCCGTGCCGCGTCTTGTGTCGTGCCGATCTGGGCACGGGTGGGCGGCTGCGCGGGCTGGGCGGCCGGCTGGGCGGCCGGCTGGGCGGCCGGCTGGGCAGCCGGCTGGGCGGCCGGCTGGGCGGCCGGCTGCTGCTTGGCACCATTCGCAGGTGAAAACATAGGAAGCTCGTTGCTGCCCTGACGTGCCGGACAAAAACGCGCACAAACGCACACACTCTCTCTGGAGTCTCATGTCAAGCAAGAAATCCGGTCCTCGCTTTGGCGGCCAGGGCTGCTCTTCCTGGGCAGAGTTGGCGCTTCAAAAGCGGGCCGGCTGAGTCAAACTCTGCCGGGATTGCCCGCTCGAGTCGCTGGAGCTTTCGTCAGCGCTGGCCTTAGCTTGTTGGAAGTAAACACAGCACAACAGCAGCTGATCGCCACCAAGAAATAACACCCTCATGGGAAACTTGCCAGCATGCCGGCCGCATGCCGCAGGGTTTTTGCTGGCTTCGTTCTCTTGACTCATTGACCGCTGCCCCTCTCTTCCAGAATTCTATGGCCAGCGCCAGCCAATCCACAGTAGCCACACCTCAAGCGCATCTTTGGCCAAAAGCCAACAGAACATTCGCGGCGCTCCTCCAGGTCTCCGCCCATCATCGCACGTCAGGTTCTTGGCCTGACAACGGCTTGCACAACGACTTGCCTTCGGAGGTGCAGTGTCAAGGGGACAGAAGTGAATGTTTCAAAGGCCACATGACCTCCATACGTGGTCGCCGTTCGCGCACCTCAGGTTCCGCGCCCTCGAGCTCATCGATCTCTCTCAGAAGGCCATCCACCTGAGCGGCTCAAAATCGAGCTTGGGACTGACCTATCGCTATGAGAGGCCCGCCGCCGGGCGGGCCATATTAGTTGCCTTTAGGGACGCCTGCTGGCCCTAGCCTCCAGCGCAACTGGCCAACTGGGCGACTCAGCTCGCGACATCCACCCCTGACATCCCACCGCCATGGCTTGCCAAATCTCAAGAAAGGAAGGGCGCTTCGAACCTTGCTTGCAATTGAATGGTTGAACAAAGAGTGCGGATTTATTTCGGGATTTGTTTTCGCATTTTTCCTCTTCTTCTTTTTTTTGTTGGGGGGGGGAGGGGAATTTGAACAAATGCAAGCGGACCGCCCGCATTTGACAGTGTGCCGGCTTGGCTCCACCTGTGCCAGGTGAGCTGTGGCGATCCTTCTGATATTTTTGAGCCCGTCGCGCCAAAGCTTCCTGGCCCGGTTCCTCAGACCCCAAGAGCATCGTTCCCGTTCCCGGTTCATGAAGACCACCCCCGCTTTTTGAATCTACCCAGGTACCAACTAACTGGGATCTTGGTCCATTAAATCTACCAGCGGTTGATCTGCCCTCTTGCGAAGCTCTAACTCCCTGCGTGGGCCAGCAGCGCAAAGAAGCACCTGGGCCGTTCGGAGTGGAGGCAATGCTGGGGTTGGGTCCTGAACAGTAGGCCCTCAGGAGAAACGATTCCAATCAAACCCTCACCAAACAAAGTGACCCCGGGCTGTAGACTAGGCTGGTCCCAAAAGCGCTTCTGTTTCTATCCGAGCGCCTTTACAAGCAGGTCCACGGCTTGACACCTGTGCCCACATTTGCCTGCTGAACACTCCGGCCGCGATTTTGATCTCAGCGTCGAGACGTGTCGAGACTTGGGCACTTAAATCTCACAGCAGGTCACCCGATTGGCCTCTGCTGCGCCAGAACCACCCTGCACAGAGAAACGAAACTGTTCCGCACAGAGAAACATGACGAAACTGCACCAAAGAGGTAACACCTCTCGCACGGAAGCACCTCTTGCACGTTCAACTCCTGCCGAGTTGAAGCCGGTGGAAGCCGTTTGCAACTCCCCAGCTTTGAAACATGCAAAAAGCCTCCAGGTGTGCCTGGTGTAACGCGCAGGAGTCATTTCGGCAGGAAAAGCCTGCCGAAGCTCTGACTGCTCGAATAGATCGGTTACAAGTTCCCACGCGTGCCACCAGGCATCATTCCAATAACTATACAGGAAACCTCCAAGCCACTTGTGAAAGATGGCTTGGAGAAGGCTGTAATTCAGTGATCGACACATTTGACAAATGGCACTGCCCGCCAAGCCGAACGCATCTACTGCCTGCACTCCCTCACACGTTGCAAACCAACAGAATGGTACTGCTAAATACTGCTGACTAGCTGACTCTCGGGCTTGCGGGGCTGTACACTGGCTGCTTGATCGCACCCACTGTACCACGTCCAAGCGCTTTCAAAAAGCTCTGCGCCTGGCATTCAAGATGGCGCACCTTGTGCAGCGCGAGGCAGGACAAGCCATGAAAACTGCTACAGGCCACAAGTTGGCATTGAAACTTCAGCGAAGCCGCGCATGTGCTAACGAGCACCGTATCATCCAATGGTTTCCACTTGCTGCGCAAACGTCAGACATCCTCCTCAGTTTCTCCACAAAGTCGGCGAGGCATTTCAATGATTCAAATGCAAAACCCGCTGCATGAGCTTACTAGGGTTCCCCTTTGGTGGGAAAAACACGGGAGCTGGGATTCCATTCCCTGTGTCCGCAGAGGTGATTCAGAAACTTCCAGAATTCTTCCCATTTCCGGGAACTCACATTGCCGCACGCGGAGTTCTTCCAAGCGTCAAAACGCAGAGGTTCTTCAGGACAGCGATACGGGCACCACTTATGCTTGGCGTCAAGGAGCCAAATGTTGATGCAACTTGCCTTGAAGATTCCCCGGCTCACTGGAAAGCAAAAAACCCTGCAAGTTCAAATCCCTGACAGCCGGTCGCGCACCGAATGCCCAAGCAGGTCGACGCACACATTGGCAAGTTCAACATGAAGCACCTTTATGCAGCACCTTTATGCATCCAGGGGGCATGAAAGACGTGTCCACATGCAAGCCGCGTAACCTCAACTTGAAAGCTCGAGGCTACAAAGAAAGCGGCGCCATTATCACACATTGCCGCCGGTTGCTGCAGCGCGTGTTGCAATCATTAGCAACTACCACAAAAACAAACACTACTGCCATTGCCCCGCCACAACAACGACGATGACGAGCAACGATGGACACGTCGACAGCGAGGACAACCAGACGCCACCAGAAAAGCAAAACAACAACAATAGTGGAACAAATGTCAATCGAGAGCAAAACATGGACACCAGCGCTGTTGGCAACCCACTACCTACTGCTGCTGCTACTGAACTGCTCCGCCGCGAGCCGCGGGCCAGCTGGAGGCAAGCGGCTTTGCTGCTGGGCTCAAAATCCGAAAGGCAAATGACGCACTGCTCGTGCATGGGGCACCTGGCGATGGGCGCAAACCTCACTGGGACAACTGGCAACAACATAAGGAAAGTCTGATTCAAACATCAAGTAAAAATGTAGATTGTCAACGTGTTCCTTGACATTTGGCCAAATGCGGCATGTGAGGTAGGTGTGCAAGCTCGGCCTCTGAATGCTGCTTGTCTGCTTGTTTTCGTGGAAGACCACCACAAATTGTCAGAAGTTGAGTTCTGACCAAATCCCCACGCACCTTAAGGGGGAGGGTGGGAAGGGGGCGGTGTCCCCAATCATATTTTGGTCCAGTCTTCCCCCCCCGCCAACCAACTGCATGTTTCCAGCCTGGGCATCCTGGTTACTGCCAGTTCCGCATCCTCTGCCACTTCCTGAAGCTCCAGGAATGACGTCTGCGGCAACCTCGCCAAGCCCTGCCAGGGTTCTGCAACCCTTTCTTGGACTGCACATTGGCGCTTCCAAATCATCTGGCTGCTGCCTCAATGCGAGTGTTCTCTTTCTCTTGCTCCAGTGTGGCCTCAGTCGCTCGCACTGCGCTTGAGCTGTTTGAGTACCCCTCCACCCCTCCAGGGCCCCCTGCCACAATCGTGTCCTGTATCTTCAGAACCTTCCTCCATGTGACAGCTGCCAGGACCACCTCGGAAAACGCTGGCTTCGGCCATGCGCCGACCCCCCCCCCCCGTCCCGTGCACTCCGCGAATTTTGCGGGGCACCAAGACGAGGTCCAGGATCAAGATCACGAGGCTGAAGGCCCGGTGGCTGAACACGGAGCTCCACGTCAAGGCCAGGAACGTCGCGTGGAAGCCCAGGAAGATCACCTGAGAGATCCGGGATCCGGGCCGGCGGGACGTGAAAAGGAAGCGGTGGGCAACTGAACACAGAACCAACCGCCTCACCTTGATGGCCACAAACACCAGCAGCATTCTAGAAAGCTCCTGGGCTGCAACTGGCAAAGGAGTTGCAAAAGGAACAAGCGCGCTCGCTGCCAAGCTTCTGAGCCGAGTCTGCACATGTCAGTGTTCAGCAAGTGGCCGGACAGCCACATCAAACCGGCGAGAGTCGCCTCATGTGCCGCCCATCTGGGTGCTTTGGGCGTTTCAAGGTGTGAGCTCAGCTGCAACTGAGGTCGCCGCGAAGGACAAGATAGAAGTGATGAGAACAACAGAGGGAAAGGAAACCACAATACCTGGGCAAGGCTCTCAAACCCAGGAAGCAAACGCCGGCCAATGGCTGCCCAGCACTGTCACTGATCCCATTCCTGAGTCTCCTCGAGACCATCTGCAGCACAGCTGCCGTTGCATTCTGTCAACGTCACGTCCCCATGTCGAACCCAAACCTCGCCGCACCTGGGTGCAACGCTCTTGTGGAATGACTTGTGCTTGGACTCTGTTCAGGCAAGTGGCACCGCAGTCCTCCATCCGCTACTGATAAGAGAGCCATCTGTCAAAATAGACACGAAGCTCCCCAATGTCACAACCTAGGCTGGTCAGTAAACGTGTGCCTCCCGTGGCCCATGTTGCCCTGATGCAATCATGTGGGAGGGAGTTCCCGCGACTTCCGGCAGGCAAACACCCGAGCTGCAAATAGAATTGCGACGGTCATCTGCACCTGCACCACATCACTCCTGCGGCATGGCCTTCCAGGCCTGAACCTCCTTGTTTCACTGTGTGGCATCCGATATTATCCGACTGCAACACTTGCAAGGCGCGCGCACCTACCCCGCTCCAAACACGTCAAGTCCCGGAAGCGCAGTGAGGACCCCAAACTTTCCCATGGGAGCGCCGAGTCAAAGCTCCGCTTGGCCCGACCGACGAAACCTGCGAGAATCCTCAAGCGTGAGCTCGGGGGCACCGGTCTGGGCCTGGCTGGCTGACATGCCGGGACTGGGAGAACTCGTGGCCTGCTAGGTTGAGGATGGGGGCTGAGGTGTCTCGTGGATTTTTACCCTCTCTGTTTTTTTTTGGGGGGGGTCTTCTTTTCTCTGACCCTTGAGCCCCGCCTTGCGCTTTGTGCGTGCGCCGTCCACGCGTGCAGCATTTGCACCCGAAGGGGCGCGTAACCCACGCCCGGAGTTGCGCTGCATGAGTTGACGTTGCGGTGCATTCTTGAGTTGTGCGTGTGACACTGCGGGGCTCTGAGGTGCAGGGTCGCTGTCACAATAGTTCCCCCGGAATATCGCCGCCTACCAATGGCTCTCCCTCCTACACATGGCTTTCTTCGAGCCTGGGCGCGGCAATCAAGGAGCCTGTTCATGAGAAACTGCTTGCCGCTGGGCGCGGCGTTGTTCCAAGCAAACAAGGGGTAACCCTGATCAAACAGGCATGGAAATGAGGACCCCCTCCGAGACATCTGAATGCCATGGCCATGGCATCGTGGCCAGCTGGATCCACAATGTATAGCCAAGCCTTTGGTTCCATGCCGTTTGATGCGGGGATCGGGGGATAGCCTTACTTCGATTCATCCAGCAAAACCCGCGTAAATGGAACAAATGGGGAAGTCCATTGATGGAACTCTGGCAGGTCACGCCCCTCCAGCTCCAGGGTGGGGAGCTGGACGAATCCCGCGACCCAATCGATGTCTGACCCTCTCGCAGCTGGCTTTTGGACAAAGCTCCGAGGTGACTCCAAGGCTTCGATTCAATCGAATGCCTCGCGGTCAGTTTCGTGGTGAATGCAGCCATCATATCCTGGCATACCAACAAGTGACACGCACGCTCTACACTCCTGGGCCTCAAGAAGACATCCTTAAGGCCTAGGAGCTCAAGGAAACCACTTCCCTTTTGGGAAGGACACGTGGCAGGGCCGAGAAAAATTGCGGTCCGTGCCACAGGCTCCTAGGTCTTTGGGTTCTGGGCCGCTTGGCCCGAAGCAGCCCTCCACATCGCACATGCTGCCCGCGTTTTCAAAACGAATGCCACGGCCGAAAGGCGGAGGAGCGCGGCCAGAGGCATCCCATCGCGTGTTGCGAGGGAGTCGCAATCTCAAGCTCTGGCAACTTGGTACTGCGAATTGCTGGTTTCCACCAGGACGCGCTTCATATCCGAGATGTCCCGTTCGATGTCATGTACCTGGAGCGCATTGTGCTTGGAACCTGCTCCACGGATCCGAACCGGCTGGCAACGGGGTTCGTGGCGAACCTGCAAAGCAACCCACCCACAATTCACCAGGGGCACCCCATTCCGCAGCAGGCGTATCATCTTAAGCATCATCAGGTCCCGCAGGGGGATGTCAAGCAGGAAGATGTTCCTTTGGCGGTCTCAAACAAGCTGGGGCCGGTACGGGCCAGGGGCAGTAAAACCATTCGGATTGCCATATCCCCAAACTCAAATCTCCCAGCGAGAAGTGTTTCGGGCAGCCAAGTCGCAGGCAGCCGTCGATGAATTCCTCACCTAGGGCAAGGCAAATGTCTCAAGGGCTCCTATTCGCCCTTTTTTGGCTTGGTTTGTGTTTGGGAGGAGAGGCACCCTACAATAAAGTTCTGGGTGCTTCCTGGTCACAGTTCAGGTGTCCAGACTTGTCCACATCCAGCATGCTGAACAACTCCGTCATGCCTTGGGCAACGGGCAGCTACTATGACAATCCCAGATTCTCAGTGCCAAAAACAACACCACGGATCATAATGTTCATCTGATCCGGCTCGATTGAATTCCTGATAAATTGGCAGTAAGGAGTCGTTTGCTGAACCCTTCGCAAGGTCTCAAGAACTATGCCCGCTGCTTCAGACTGACTGGCTTCAAAGTGTTCTTGCGTTGCATCCAAAGCACTCTGCACAGAAGCCTTGTCAAGAATGTTGTCCGGCACCTTCACCTTTCCGTCGCGCTCTGCCTGCTGAATCCTCAGCACGCTCTCCCGTGCTCTCCCGCGCTTTCCGGAAGCGGAAGCGCGCCCCCGGAGGCCGCTGAGGTCCGCACTCCTTAAGGTGGATCTCCTGGTTCCCATCCTGGGATGTCGGAATGACACTTGCGGCACAGCCCAACTTGGGCTGCAATTTGTTTGGACTGTTCCTTGCCCAACTGGCCGCTCCGGAGATGTCCGAAACAGCACTCAGCGCCCCCGAGATCCACGCCGACCGGACGGCCCTTGACCTTCACAGCGCTTCGGACATGCGAACCCAGCACCTCCCGAGGACATGGGGGTGAATTTTAATAAGGGACCCTTTGGTGGACATCATTTAGGTGGGGGTTCATGCCCACCAACCACTTTGGAGGTGGTTCCCTAGTAAAATTCATGGCCACATTGAGCCCAGAAAGCCGAAAGAAGCACCGATCCGCCCTCCCGCTTTCTCCGAGGGGCCCGGTCCAGCTTGGTGAAGATATCTCGGAGCTGCGGGATCATGGCTTTGACCTGCTCGTTGCCCAGCTTCACCTCTTCCCTCAGAGCCAGAAAATTCTTGACGCAATCCACTTAAAGCACCAGGGCAGCTCAAGTATAATCCCAACGGGTGCGAAGCATCCTGTGATTCCTGTAGCTGCGGAATGCTCAAATGAACCCCTGAAGCGGGAAGCACATGCTCACAAATCCCCAGACACCCGTGTCCAGGCATGCTGCGTCTCCGCGACCGGCCCCTTGCCTCCCAAGTCCGGCCACACTAGCCTGGTGCCTCCCTGGTCTATTCCCGCCACCTGGGTTACTGTGCAATCCTCACAACGCGTCATGCTTCACTCCATCCACCTGTCCAACTCATCAACAAGCCGCCGCTTGGTTTTTGCATTTCCCTCTTCACTCCGCCCTGGGAGCTCCGTTTCTGCAATCAAAACCCCAAAACCAAACCCCAGATCCTACGCATGAGCCGCATGAGAGATGATACGTGGAAAGTTGGGCGGAAACCCAAGAAATCCAACCAGACGATTTTTGCCAGCATCTGCAACCAACATTGGCCATGCATCAGCCTGTGCGCACTGGCATGTGTGGTCGTGTGCGTGCAAGCCTTTCGCAACGACGGTAACATCCTCCCCCCCCCCGCCCCCCCCCACCCACCCCCCTCCCCCGCTCACACCCGCCAAGCAGCTCCTTCTCCTGGCGGGCATGCTCCAGGGCGCCTTCTACCAGCACCGCCGTGACCAAGTTCATCAAGGCAATGGAGACCTGAACGGTCGAGTTACCCCGCCTGAAAACCGAATGAATGAAAAACAAGGAAGTGTCAAGGGGAAGAAAAACGTAAAATACAAAAAGGTCGAAAACAAAAACAAGAAAACAAGCAAGCAAAGGTCTCATTCTGGCACTCGGCCCTTTCATCTTGCCGGTCTTGCCTTCTTGGGTCGGTTCAAAGCAAAATTGCTCAATCGAAGCACACTGTCCATGCGGCTGTTTTCAGTGGCTTGACCTATGGAGCACGGCTCGACAGGGTCCCGAAGCCGCCTGCAACAGCGAGCTGGTTACCACCCAACTAAGAAGCACCGGGAAACCTTGAAACAGGTCATAATCCTGACAGGGCTCTGTGATGACCAGGAGCGTGAAGTAGATGCTCAGCGATCCCTTCTTGTTGATCAATGGGAACTCGGACAAAACGTGCCGGTGGCGCACAAAAAGGAAAGGAGCTCGCGATTCTGCGAAAAGCACACCGCCCCTGCTTCAAGCCGGTATCAATTATCAACTTGTTGGGTGGTTGTCAACAAGGTGGCCCCTTGGAAAATGATCGAGTGCCGGCCCAAGCAACATAAATGGAGGCGATCGAATCCATGGTGACCTGGGCATCCCCCATTAGTCGCAAAGCGTTCGACAAGCCAAACAGGCAGTCCATGTAAACTTTCATTCAAGTCCTTTGTTGTCCATTACGGGGGACCAAGGCTCCTTGTTTCACCGAGCCATGTTTGCCAGCCAAAGTCGTTTTGGTCAAGAACCTGCTCCATCCGCTGCATGCCCAGCGGCAAACTGGGACAGAGTCATCATTGTGACAAAAATGCCGCCTTGGAAGCCCCCCGGCGGGAGGGATTCGTTAGCTCTCAGGCCATCTTGAGAGCATGAGGGCAATGAATCAAGATATGGGAGTCAACTCTACAGGACACGCTTTGGACGAAAACAAGTACACAGGCAACCAACCTTGGGCCCCTAGCTTTGACAAATTAGCTGCATCTAAACATGGATGTTTTCTTCAGACCCCTGCCCCATGACCTCACAGATTCGCTTGCGCTCGCATGCCTGAAATGCAATTTGAACTCAGGTCTTGGCTGAAATTCAACTCAATGATCGCTTTTGTTCCGGCATCTTCCCGCAAGGTCTCATCGTTCGCAATCATCTCTACGCCTTGGAATGGTCCCTCTCTGCAACCGAGAGTATCATGACACGACTTCCTAACGTTCATCTGGAATCACATTCCGTCCCTTTTTGAAAGGCGGGAATTTGGGAAGTCCATCCTCTTTCCGCTTGGCAAGCCCCACAAGCAAGCCCACTGGGGCAAGTAGGTTGCTGGCCCAGGACTGCGAAGATGTAGAGAACCTTCGCTCGTTTGCCGCCGGGAAAGGCAGCAACTCTATCAATGGGGGCACGACTGGCGAACGCAAGTTGTCACTCGCGTTCTGCCAAGGGGCAAGCACCAGCAGTGCCAGCGTGGAAATCATGGTGTCGCCTGGGCTCAGCGAACGAGTCTCAAAGCGCGTGGGAAACTGGGAGCAAGCCCGGCACTTGTTTATTCTGCGTTTAATTCGTGTGCCTTGCTCAAGGCCTCGAGGCCATGCTCAAACGACCCCAAAAACTGGCCTAGGACTCAGCGACCTTCCCATGCTTTTGCAGCCGACAGGCAGGAGGTCAGCAATCCGAACACCAGCCGCCAAATTGTGCGCATCTGTCTGATCCTGAGTTGCTCCGACCGTGCGGTAGTCATGTGGTGGCAAAGTGTGACAGCCTAGCCTTCGTGAAGCATGGACTTCTGACAGGTGAAAATCTATCGAACCCTTGTGGTACTTAAGCTCACGAGCACCAAAACCATGTGGGCTGTCCATGTCCTTGCTTTGCGTGTGGTCAATGTGCTTTTACTAAAAAGCTTGAAAACCACCCAAATTACCAAAAGCGCACAAACAAGGTCAGCGGCCAATGAACCCTCAATACGATGCAATTGCGGAGCACTGTCATTGATTTTGGTGGGTGTATTGCATGAAGAGTAACTGCGTCGCACCCACCAGTCGCTGAGCCAAAGGACATTCGAAGTGCTCGGATGAGACGAAGCAAGCGAAGCGCGCGTAGAACCAAGACCTGAGCGCCCGCGATCGAATGCAAACAGCCAAAGCGCCAAAGGGAAAAAGGCTGTGGCTCAAACACATGTACCAAAATGGTACCTTGTTAAATGGAACCAGAGACTAAAACCTGCGTAACCCTGGCTTTTTAATTTTGAAATGGGCTACATTCTGGGGCACAATGCTGGGGCTCCGCCCTTGGGCATGCAAAGCCCCCGGGTCCATTTTCGCTGCCAACATGGAACGATAGGGCGGGGCTGTTCGAGGGAGTATTCGAGAATCTTTTTGAAGGTGGCCCATTCGCAGCTGTTAGGGGAACCAGAAGCAAACCAGGGATCCTTGCATTATACACCTGACACTGCGTTGTAAATGGTGGTGTCCCTCTATTTTGGTGGAAAAAGCCATGTTTCAAATGGGCAAAATGTATCTTTTAAGGAGCCCTGCAAACCATTCCTGGTAAGTTCTGAAAAGGACTTGTCAGCAAAAAGTCCGGCCTCCTGTCAATAAAGGTTGAGAAGCGTTGGCCCAACGCTTATTCCAGCAACTGTCAATCTGTCCACCATGCGCCGCGCTGCGCGTGGACGGACATGCATCGCCCCACCACAAGCGCACATGTTAAACGCCGCATGAAAAAGAGCTTGGTGGGGCGGATGGGCTACATACAGGCCTTGCCTTCCCAAGCAGAAGCAACTTGCATTTCGACAGGTCTGTTGCGTTGCGGCTGCAAGAAACGTATCGGAAGGTCGTCAAGTGTCCACCACCGTCGTCGGGGGACAGCCGCAAAGCCGCTACCGGCACGCCGGGCTTCTGCAGGAACAAATGTGCTGCCTTTCCAAAGCCGATTTGGCAGCCAAGTTCTTAGCCGTCTGAACTCCAGTCGCTTCCAATCGGCTTTCCTCCCTGCTGAAATTGTTATCCCCTGCGCAACTTCACGCCGCATCGCTCGCCTGAGTTTCCCTCCACGTGGGCGCGGAGACAGGCCGAGTGTCATCTGCGTAGACAATGCGCGGCAGGGCCCCGGGAAAACGTGGCGCCGTGCGTCGACCTTTCCATCGTGAGCGCGAACATGGCACCAAGCTCAGCGCGCGAAGACAAAACCGCAGGAAAACGAATCCGCGGCACGTCCATTTGGGTGTGGGTCAAAATTCAACCACCAGGGGACCGCAGATTTTACTCCTTGTTTCCATTTACCAGGGTTCCCTTTTGGGGTTACCCTATTTTTGACCCACCATTTCTTGTTGGCATCCGCCTGCTGGATGATTGAGGGCACTGTGGCGACCGCCGCAAAGATCTGCCCGAAGAGGCTGATCACCACCAGCAAGCAGTCGAAGAGGAACCAGTAGTCGCAGAAACATTTCCTCGCAGCCCATTGGGAGTGTCCACAAATGTTGCTGAAAAAAACTTTCGGGGTCCCTTTATAGCACAAAAAGGGGGCGGGGGCGGGGGGGGGGGGCGGTTTTTTGGTTTTTCTTTTCGGGGGGGGGGGTTTTCTCCCAATGCAGCTCAACTCTGCTAAAGACCCGCTGGGGCTGATTGGAGGATAGTTTTGGACCCCTTTGCGAAGAAGTTGCAGTAGACCTCCTGGCCAAACCGTGGCTCTCTTATTGCAACGAATGCTGTTCTTGGACAAGGCTGTGGCATGCCTCCTCTTAGAGAAAGACATGTCTTGAACCGCAAAAGACAAACGCTGGACAACCAAAGTCCATAAACAGCGGAAACAACGGCTAACATGGCGAAAAAGGGAGAAGCACGTGTCCTCTGTCAAATGGTGTTTGAGGAAGGTCGTAAACACCCGCAAGGATAACTCCCCAACGGCGATGCCAAGCTGCATCTTGTCTGCGATGAGGCGGACAACTATCTCCTAGGTGGCATTGTGTTTGTGCATGAATTAGCTCGCGGCATGCATCCCCGCAAGATGCCGAGGCCGTGAGACAATAGGGTAGCCGAGCAGCCAAAGTATAAATCACCAAAAACACGATCTCCAATACCCTGAGCAGCGCAGCCCTTGCAGCAACCATTTGCCCCCGCCATGTGTTCTCAGAGTCTGGCGTGGTCCATTCCACCCAAAGGCCTTGTGCACTCAAATCAGTTTCCACGCCGATGACAATCGCATTGACCTGGGTTGAGGGCCGACATCAACACACATAATATGAATGATGGTGGTACTGCAGTCTTGCACTTTGCGCAGCTTCCCGTCTGCTGGCACATCCGAGCTGCCAAGATCACGCAGGAGATTGCGTATTCAAAACGCGGGCTGTGTACCAGGATCCTGCCCGAGAGCAAGATTGCAGGATTCATGCAGCTTCAGCATCCCGCCTGCAAAACCACTCAATAGTTCTCCACCAGCCCTTCTTCAAAACTGCACTCAGGGGTGGATGCTTTGGGGAACTAGTATCGAGCTCCATGATCTTTGCCATCAGGGTACCTCAAATGAGCTGCGCATGCGAACTGGCAGCAGCAGCAGCAGCAGCAGCAGCAGCAGCAGCAGCAGCAGCAGCAGCGGCAAAACAAGCATGAAGGCCTCTCAAGCGCCACAATGCAAACAAGGATCCTTCCTTCCTTGCCTCGTCCCTTAGCTGCAAGCCATCTCCACGCCATCTGCGCATTGCAAAGTGCGCGCATTTCTTGCAAAGGCCGCGAGACGCAAGCGCAACAAAAAAAATACTGCAGCACTTCTTCAAATCACGAAGTCCTGCAAGCACAGCGGCTCTTCATCTTCCTCCTCTGCCTCTTCCTCCTCTCCCCTCTCCTTGCCCTAAAGCAAGTTTGATCAAGAGTCTTAGTGGGGCATGCGCTCATATTACTCCTCGCCTTGCTCGATTGCAACAGCACTTGGCCAGCAAAAGAACTGACCATACACGCCACACACACACACACACACACACACCCTTGCCCGAATGCCATCCTAAACCTCCCGGATCTGCTAAGCGCCAACTGCAAGGCCTCCGTCTCGCCAGGCTTTTCTAGAGACTTCTCCAAGATAGTGGAGTCCTTGACAGGCCCCCAGCATCACCAGCAACCCTCTCAAAGAGCCGCTCGTTCGGCGACCTGCCGTCCTTTGTCGGCATCGAGCATGTGCATAACGTGTCACCAAAAAGTTGGCAGGCAGCCCCTGCTATTTGGTTGACGGTGGAAGGGGAGCAAAAATTGATTTTTTAGCAGTTTAGTGGGGATTTCCCACTAAACCACAATAAGCAAAAATGAAAAAAGGTTTCCCAACAACAACCATGGCTACAAGTGCCACTTTCGTGTGCTCCTCGACCGCGGGGTCATTGATGGGGATCAATGAAATCTCCTCCTGCCGATCATCGAACCGAGACATCGCATCTGCCCGCTCGCGACTCGCGTCCTGAGTCTCAACAAAGGTCACCTGTTGCTGCACCTTCTCTGTGAGACAGCTGATTGCCGACCTGCCAAGCACTCCAACCTCAAGGAAATCCTGGATGCCATCCTTCTGAGTTCTTGCCCAAGTCACCTTAACCGCTTCCAACACGGAACCTGACCAAACAAGACTGGACAGGTCCGCCTGGACTCATGAAGCTGTGTCTCCAAGTCGTTGAGATAGGCCTGGCAGGTGGCTGTATGTGAATTGGATGCCAAGTTCTGCAACCGGATGGTGAGCCCACATGACCTCAGGAATTGAACAACGCACTCTTGTGATTGGTATTCCTGACGCGCCATAAGCCATGAGATGTGAGGAATTTCAACAGTTTACAGCTCCGGAGGAGTTTCACGGGTCCAAGAGTCTCACGGCTTCCCCAATGCTTCCAAAAGTTGCATCCTAAGCCTCCCCCTCAAGAGAAGCCCTTTGAGCTTAAAGGGTGGGGGGGGGGGGCTAAAGGGGCTAAGAGGGTAATTCCAAGTGCAAATCGCGGCAGCAGCGGCTCTTGTGCTTCCTTGCCGTGGGTGCGTCATATTTTCCTTTGATACTGTCCGAGACTCGCATGGAATCTGGTAGAAGCTCAGGGAAGCCTTAGGGAAGCCTGGAAGCTTAGGACGCAACAGGGCAACGCAACTTGAACCTCCAATCGACAGGGGGTCTCCTAGGTTCAGCTTAGGAAGGCTTCAGGAAAATCAAGATATGTCAGGGAGAGGCCCTTCCAATTTGGCGGGGCTCCGGATCGATCTTCACACATGGGGCATCAAACTGGCGTGCGTTCCAGCAGGAGGTTCCTCCCAACATGTGCGCGTTTGGGTGCTTTCCGTGTTACATCTGGGCCCGTGCCCGAGAAAGACCAAAAAAAGAAGAAGAAGAAGAAGAAGGGCTGAATGGCTGGAGGTCCTCTTCTGGGCTCGTAAAGAGCCCCAAAACCAAAAAAAACTGCCATTTTCCGCCGGAAAGTCCGCGGTGTGAACGCATCCGGCTTGATCTCTCTGGCCTCCACGGCGCCCTGCTGAACCTTGATACTGGCCAGCAGCTGGTCGGGAGCCTCCAGCCTAAGCCAACGCTGGACACCCCAAATGGGATACCCACCGGAAAATGCGGGGTGACATCCACCATTTCTCCACACCGAATTTCAACTGCTGTAACAAGCAAATCCACACCAAGACTTTCCTTTCCGGTTCAACAACACCTTGGTTTTAGCGGGCTTTGGCAGTTTCCTTTCCGTGCTACTCTCCCTGTGGTCTGGGTGCCTGGCAGTTCTTGCAGCTGCGTCACCTCACCCAGCAAGTCCGCCCAGCTCACGCCAGGTGACTGCCGCCTCAGGCCGAGGCTAGGGCTCAACATGGCAGCGGAGAAGGCCAAGCCACCTATGATTGCACCTTTTGCGCCTGTTGCTGAGCCTGTTGCTGAGCCTGTTGCACCTGTTGCTGAGCCTGTTGCACCTGTTGCGCCTGCGCCTGTTGCAACAGTTTCGGCCTCTGCAGCCAAGCTTCCGTGGCACGGTACCAGGACAGCCCTTGCAGCACGTCCCATCCATAGCAACGGCGGGATGGGACAACGCGAAATGAGCTTTGCCAGAGCCTTTGGCCAACAGTGCGGCCCAAGCACGGCTCAGCAGCGCAAATTGCTTCGGCAAAGGGATGCCAACTCACCTTCTTTCGCCAATGCAGCCCAGGCAAAGAGCGAATTTGGCCAGTGGCACGTCTTGATTGATCTCAAATTTGAACATCAGCAAGTTGCCTTCCGCAACAGGTTTTCGCACAGTTCGAAGGGGACCTAAAATGCTGACTTTATCCCACAGCCCCAGATTCGTTGACAACGAGTCTTGTCAGGATGTTGTGTGCCCCCCGACATCTCAGCCGTAACCGGGGCTACAAAATGTCCATGCGGTTTCCCTGAAGCATCCCCTCCAAGGGCTCAAGACTTTGTTCAAACGCCTGTCCGGGAGCGTCTTTGTGAACCTCGGTTGCTTTTTGCTCCCCCGCTAAAAGTTTAACTTTTAGTGGCTTAATGGAAAACCCATTAGTTGGCAAAAAGTTAAAGTCCTAACATCCCTTGGCAAAATGCACCAAAGCCGAACGGTGCTGTTTTGGGGGTCGTGCTGCCGCCGCCGCTTTCTCCGTCGGATCCTCCATCAATGCGCTGCCTGTCAGCTGGCCGGCTGGCCATCGAGCCCATCAAGCGACCTCGGCTCCATGCGCGCCCCCGCTGCCATGGGAGAACAATAGAGCCACTGAGGTGCCAGTCGGCTTGGCCCATGGGGCGCATTTTGCATCTTTGGCGTGTTGTCTAAAGAACCAGCCATTGGAATTGTGGTCAATCTAAGCGCCCTCATCGGCTTTGTCATGTTCCAAGGTGGCCGATTCCGAGGCTTCTCAGCCTGCCAGGAATCCCTACCCCTTTTTTCAGGCAACCCCCCCCTTTCTCTGCCTAAGCACTCCCCCCTCCCCCCTCAGGCTCGCGCATGCGGCATCTTCCGCTTCGTGGACCGGCCAGCCGCGGCGCGCTGGAGCAGCGCCTCGCTCGAGGCGAGTGAAGGAGGACCTGGAGTTGAGGTCGCCAAGTTCCAAGGGTTGCCAGGCATCGCGCCCCCGGCCAGACAAGCGTGTGCAAGTCTTAGGCTGTTAGGCCTACTCGGGGTGCAACTCTGGGTGGGGTTCTCGAAGCCATACGATACAAAATGAGCATGAAAAACTGGAAGTGCGCTTTGCCCTTAGATTTCCTGCGGGGGCCTCCTCCACTTGCAGCAGCCGCACGCGGTGGATGCCCCACCGCACCAAGCGGGGCAGGCTGAGCCTTGCAAAATGGTCGCCATGGTCGCCCAAAGCAGATCCTCCGGAAAAGAAAAAGGAGAACCGATGCCATGCCATGCGGAGATTCCTCCACACATCTGTACGTTTCAGGTTCCGGTTTTGCGTGTTTCCCAAAAGCAACAGAGAGAGAGAGAGAGAGAGAGAAAGAAAGAAAGAAAGAAAGAAAGAAAGAAAGAAAGAAAGAAAGAAAGAAAGAAAGAAAGAAAGAAAGAAGAAAGAAAGAAAGAAAGAAAGAAAGAAAGAAAGAAAGAAAGAAAGAAAGAAAGAAAGAAAGAGAGAAACAGCTTCTGGTGTACCAGAGCCACAAACCGGGCAGCCTCCCCCCAGCGGTGGCCCGCTCGGGATCAGGCCCGGGACTGGCTCCGCATGCGTCATTGCCAGCCAAACAGCTAGAACAAACAAGGGGATGGAGGAGGGAAGCCAGCGCGTTACCGAAAATCGCCCCGAAAGGGCCCAGGTCCCCGCGCCAACCGAGCCCGAGCCGGAAGCCCGTACAACCCGGGCGTGAGCCCGAGCCACCCACCACGGGGCCGTCAGCCAGGATGGCAGCAAAAGTCGGGTCTGCTGAACACACCTGTCACCACAAAGCCGTCCTCCAGGACGGCAGCAAAAGCACTCTGAGTTGATTGGTCTACTGGACGCGCACCAACTGCTCTCCCACCTGGCACCTGCGCTTGCTTTGGTCTGCTGAACACACTTGTCACCACAAAGCCGTCCTCCCGGCTTCTGCCGCGTGGGCCGGCGCGGGGCCGCAAAAAAAACAAGAGAAAAAAAACAGAAAAGAAAAAAAGGCACTGTCGCTCCGAGGGCGAAAAGGGAATCATGCACCAGGTGCTCATCGGACCGAAACGGAAAAAGGAACGAACAAAAAACAAACAAAAAAAAGAATCCGGTCCTTAGTGCCGCCCCCTGGGGTCCTGGTCCACGCGCCATTCCCAATTCGAAACCGCCCCCGGATGCAGGGGGCCAAAGAACAATAGAAACTGCAGAAATCTCCACCAGCCTTCTCCTAGCCAGGCCGAAACTGCATGTTTGTTCTCAATAGGAAGCATGCCCAAGCATTGCCTGGGAGTCACATTCCTACATTCCCTCAGCAAAACGAAGCTCCAGTGGTCCAGCCATGGTGCCATTCCAACTTCTGCGGTGCTTTGGCATTGGCATTGGAAGGCTTGGTGTGGAAGTCGCCCTGGCAATCGTTGAGCCACCAAGCTTATTCTGCGGGCGTGACCTTTTATTGCCAAGCTCACTTTAAGGATTCAACCAAGCAACCACAGAAGCTCTGAGAAAACTCTGTAATATTTCTGAACACACTCTACTTGCTGAGCAAAATCGCCAGCGCCAAAACACCCAAGTCCTAAGACAAAGGGATCTCAATGTTCAGTTCAAACTAGCAGCTCGACACAAAAGCACTCCGACGCATCAAAGTGCGCAAAACGCTTGTTTTTGCTCCAAACAGGCGGCGGCACGCGCACCGACTCGAACCCAAATCCAGCCCGCCCTTCGCGCTTCCCTTTGCGTGGGGCACAGCACTTAAACGAAGTCGCGTTAAGTCGCGCCAACGCGCGTGAAGTCACATCCCTGCGAGGCCACGCGCACATGCGAGAAGTCACATCAGCGCGCGTGAAGTCACATCACTAATCATGGTGATCACTCTGGCCACGCTCTTTCACATTGTTCGTCACGCTTTGCCGCACAACTAGCCGTGTGCGTCCCTCTTTGAGGGAAAAAGAGGTTTTAAGCCAACATAAAGCATAGCGTTGATGCCTGACCCAACGGCGATAGGACTCCACTCCATCTCATACAGCTGGTTGCCTGTGAGGATGCTTTCCCCACCGACAACGTGCGATCACCACGACTTTGGACAAGCTGATGCGACTTGACCCTTCACTTCCGTTTGTGTGTGTGTGCGCACGTGTTCCATCTCCTTCGTCCGCGAATGTGCTACCTGCCACGCAGCTGCAGATCAATCTCTTCAGTATTGACCTTCGTGTCGGAACGGCTGTTCTGCCACGAGCTCGTGCTACAATTTCTGAAGGTCTTGCCAGTCACCGCCTCTGCCTCAAAGACGAAAAGCCATGGATCAAAGGCCCTTCGCGCGCGTGCGACACATTTGGCACGAACCACGAAAATCATCGTCAGACCAGGCGAGGCGGCGGGGTAACCACGCAACGAGCTCAGGCCAAAAGCGCCGCCCTGCGATTTGCTTTTCTTGGATGGCGTGGACCTGACCAAGCATCTCGCGCCTTGAGCAGCTGCTCCGCCTGCTGCAGCTCCACAGAAGCCATCCTCGCCATCTGCGCATCGTCCCGGTCCTCCACGCTTTGAAGGATTTGCCTGGGACGTGCGCACACGCGACACAACACATGACGCAAACGAACAGAACCTCGTGGGAACTGCCATGATATCATGGAAACATCATGAAACCATGGACACGCCGTGCATGTCGGATTCGAATGCTAGATGAACACGTGACGTGCAGATGCGCATGCGAGCTGCTCTAGTTCAGCCGTGCTCTTCGGGCCGCTCTGGCCGTTCCTCAGCGCGGGAGCGAGAAACCGTTCTGCTTGGCTCGGGGGGGCATCTTCTGGACAAAGGTGGCGAGCGCACTTCAGAAAAGGCACTGGGCGTCTGGGCTTCCAACCACAAGGGCAAAACACTACGCAAATGTTCTGTGAACCAAAACGTCAGTCACCTCAACCAGCACGAGTCCGCAATTTCAGTGATACGACTATGATACGACCCTGAAAAAGATCACTAAAAACAATGTACAATCACAATTCACAACCGCATCACGAAGTCCCAGTCACATTCTCACGCCCTATGCCCCGCATCCCTGCGCCAAGTCGCGCCGCTGGCGCCGCTTCCGGCGCCGGCGCCGGCCCCGTAGGGACAGCCTTGGCGCGAAGCAAATGAAGCAGGGGAACCCTGGCAGCCGAGGGGGCAGCAAACATCATGCCAAAGAGCTGCGGCTGGTGCAAAATGACACGAAACAGCACTTTCGTGGTTCTCAGCACGTCGAAACCAATATGCAACCAATCATTTGGAGCATGGCATGCGTTTGAAAGGACAAGCCGCAGAGCCCGTGGCTGCATCTGGATTTTGCAGCAGTGAGCGAACCTGCCATATAATCACGCCCTTACTTGGGCTCTTGGTATTCGCGCACCTCTGCCGAAGTCCAAATTGGCTGTGGCGCCGCATCTGCTGCATCTTGGCCATCCACTTTGCCTGATCCTGGCACTGAGCACATGGGTCCTGCACCTCCCCCGGACTCGGCCCTCGTTTGCGCCTCGGTGAAGGCTCTCCAGCCTCTCTGTGGTGAACTCCCCTTGGTCGACCACCACGTTGTCGAGCTCCCGCTTCCTCTGATCTCAACGAATTTTGCATAGGCGTTCCAAAAAAGAACAGCTCTCCCTTTGAGTTGTTTTTTTGGTTTCCCTTGAAAGCCACCAAGAAGCTGCAGCTGCCTCCGCCAAATGTTCTCCTGCCCCAGGGGTCAATCTGGCTGCAGATCTTCGCCCTTTCATTCAAAAGGAAGGAAGCTGTTGCTCGGCCTCATGGCTTCCCAAGATGAATCCAAAAAGACATCGAATCGGGAACCGGCATCCTGCCGCCGCCCGACGAAACAAAAAAATCAACCCTCCTCCACTGTGTGCTCGCTGATGAGCCTGTAGATGTACACCTCCCGCGTCTGGCCAATTCGGTGGGCGCGGTCCGTTGCCTCACAGCATGGCGGTCCCTCTGCCCGGTCCATGCTCGTCAGGCCTGTCGGTCCATGGCAGGATTCCAGTCAGAATCGTAGAAAATGACCTCGGCCAACACCATGCGCCGGATGGATTTGCGGCACCAGGAGAAAGCCACGAAGCGAAAAAACCATGGCACGCCGCCAGCAAATCCCAGCTGCCACATTCGCGCTGGTCAAGTTGATGCCCACTCCGCCAGCCTGCGGCGAAATGACTCCCGCCTGCCTACACGGCATTGGACGTCTGCAAGCAGCAAATAGCAAGGGACAAAATGAGACATGGCTGGCGAATGTGCTTGTATAGAACATCATGCGTATGCATATCATTGATGTAAGTCAAACATCCTCTATTTGCATGAATGTCCTTGACTTCCCTCTCTTGCACGCGCCGAGGCACGCGGGTTGAGCAAATGAACAAGAAGATCCGGTCCTCAGCTCTTGAGGCATCTGTGGCCACTCGTCTGCCGGTCGGCGCCGGCCTCCTCGTTGAATCTGTCGACCAGGTCTTGCCGCATCTCCACCTGCGCCGCTGAGTCACCGACCCTCCCTCCACATCATGGAAGAAGGCGAGGTGTTCTTGCCGACTCACTCGCAACCTGCGAGGGTTTGGCAGTAGCACCTTGACCATCCCATCTAGCCGGAGGTAGGTGAACCGATGGTTGCAGACCTGGGCGTGGTGAGGCCTAACTAAACATCAGCCATGCATGGAGGCGACATGTTGACGAGCTACGGCTGTGAGGCGAGGTGCAAAAGCCTCGAGCACATCCAGCATCTTAATGAACTGCGTGAAAATGATGCCTTGCATGCAGCAGACAGCAGGACAACAGGACAACAGGACAGCAGCGCCAGCAGCGCCGACGTGCATCAGATTTGAAACGGAGCAGTGCACGAACGGCCCGACAGGAAGGCGATAACCGATGGCCAAGCAAGCCACGGGAATAAAGGGCAATGCAGCTGAGTAGCACTTGGCCTTGCGGCGCTTGAACTCCTGCAACATCACAGCCTGGGCAAACTTGCAAGGCATAAATTGGCCCGGAACGGCGAGCTCCCCGGCATGCGTTCTGGAAATAAGCTGGCTGGATCCAGCGCAACAAGCAAGGCACGTGCCAGGCCCAACATGTTTACACAGAACTCCAGTGGCCTCCTAAACGCAGCTCCCCCCTGAAACCTGAAAACAAAAATCGACAAATGTCCAAAAACCCTACAGCACCAGCCCCCCAGCCCACCTCAGCCAATCCGAACCGCAACCATCCTGAGGGCCCAGCGAGCTTGCGAAGTTTCCCGCAGTCTGACTCCAAATAGTGCCTTCATGCGGACTGGTTAAGGCTCAGCGTTTCCTGAAGTGAAAAGGATTGGCTATCCTAAAAGAGGGTCTCCAACTTTAGGACAACCTTTAATGCGGCCACAATGCTTTTCCGGAAGGTGGCACAGCAACCGCCCATGCAAAGCCTCAGCGTCGACTTGCGTGTTGCATTCCGAGAATGTCATTGAGGGAGGTGCCATGCAGTTCTGGATCTGTGCGTTTCCAAAAATAGCGGGCCTTTTCTGCATTGGTACTGCAGCGGAACAAAAAAAGAAAGCTATTTCTTGAAACCACCCGCAGCTGGCAGGCTGACCAAGCGATAGCAAAAGGCGCTTCTTCCGCGCCGTCTCTTTTGGCCGGATGCCATCACTCAAATCAATTCCCTCTGGTGAAACGAGCCAAAGGATCGCCCCCTGCACCTTCTTACCTGATGGTGGCCAAGATTTGGTTTGGGCCTGCCGTCTGCCAGGACCATACCTCAGCTTTGCATGCCGGATCCAAACAACAACCCGGATCGGTCACAGCGAATCTCGAGATCTGGGCCAAAACGCCATCCATACTATCTCTCGCAGAACTGGAGACACTGGGGCCGGTCTGGAGGAAACGCCAAGTGATGTGTCAAATCGAGAAAATTTGCAGACCTAGTGGAATCATATTCAGAGGTGAATGCCAGACGGGATGGAATCGTATGGAGGTGAACTAGTTTTCCGCCGCCTACCCAAGCTAATGTGTTGCTTACAATTCTGGTGAATAGTATCAATCTCAAGAAAGAGAGATTCGAGGAGTGGCGCTCATCTCGAACATGTTCGCCAAATGACCCAGTGGAGCCGTGGATCACTGAAAGCTGGCTGCGATGGAATCATTCATCCAAGCAATTCTTGTGGCCCAGCCAACCCCCGAGCCGCCCCACCTGCGCGCCGGGCCGCGTGGCAGCGCCTCCGCGCCGACGCCGGCGCCTCCGCCTCGCCGGGCACCGCCCGCAGCTCCAGGCCGGAGGTGCTCCGCGGGCCCCGGCGCGCGCCGCGCGGCACACCGCCTGGGCAGCAGGTCGCGTGGGTTTTGGGGGGAGCGGGGGGGTGAGGGGGGGGGGGAAAGACCTGAGCAGCCCTGAGCAGCAAACGAAGACACGCAAATGGGAATTACACACCTTCCAAGAAAACATGGATCCTAGCGAATGGTTGGCTTGATGTGAACAAACACGAAAAAGAATTGACATTCAACGCAAAGAAAACACGGCATTGGCAGGGAATGGAAGAAGGCCGACATCTGGATTGGTTGATTCTTGGCTTCCAAGATTGCGAAAGCATGTCTGACCTGATTGCAGCCCAAACGCCGCTGGTCTTGTGCCATTGCTTGCCTTTAACTCCCCTCATGCACCTGTCCCAGCCTGCTCCCCCGCCCCCTCACACAACTGTGTCCAGCTAATCCATGCTTGTTGACAGGGAACCCAGGGTAGCAAAGACCCTCTTCGACACCTCAGCCACGCCGCCCCCGCCTTCGGCCGCTTCGACGCGCCGCGTCTCGCGCGGGGCCGTCTCCAGCGCCCGGCGCAGCTCCGCGGGGCTGGCGCGGAGGCAAAGCCCGGCGCAGGTGTAGCGGCCATCCGCCACCGTGGGGAAGCCGCAGCGCAAGGCATGGCTTCGGATCTGGTGGTTCCTCCAGGAAGGCTCAATTTCGGAACATGTGGGAAGCTAAGGTGCTTGAAATGAGCAGTGAACCTCTCAAAAAAAAAACAAGTGCCCTTTGCACCTCCCTGTGCGGATGCGGATCGCCGCCATGCTGAACGGGGTCTGAAGCCGCCCGTGGCCCACGAAGCTGAACCAGGTCAAGGCCGGCTTCCCCGCGGTGTCCGGCCCTTTGCGCGCCGCGTGGATGGCGAGGCTGCACTCCCTGGCACTCGCCCAGGCAAGCCAATCGGCTATGGGTCAAAACCCAAATCGTACCCCCCGTGAACATCTCAATCCAACCACTAAAATAGTCTAAAATGCGTGGTGCACCTACCCCAAAATGGTATTGGTGTTGACCCACGGCCAATTGAACACGGCAATGACACTCAACGCTGCAACCGTTGCAACCTTTGACCCTTAAAAGGGAAACCCCCTGCCTTAAGCTGGCAGGAGCTGGGCCGTGGCAAAGGACGAAGTACTCCCGCTGCATGGACAAGCTGTTGATCTGAAAGCGCAGGGAGTACAAGCCTTCAAAGGACCTGCCTACCAGCACCAAGCCGGAGCTTGGCACATCCAGGCGGTGAATGAATCCGTACTGGAAGTCGCAGAGCTGTGGCAACAGATCTGTGGGGAACTCCTTCCGCAGAAAGTCTGAGAGGAAGCTTTGGCTCCCCTCCGAGTGGGGACCATCCACCTCCCACCCGGGCGGCTTCATGAGAACAGCCATGCCGCGAGTTCTCACCACCACCTGCGGGCTATTGCTCTGGTGCCCTTCAGCTCTTGGCAGCGAAAGCCGGCGCCCAGCCATGCTCCTGCAAAGCCACTGGGCTGAAGAACTCATCCATCCGGAAACCCACCCCGGGTTTGAGAAGTGGGGGGGGAGAGGAGGACACCCCCAGGTGAGAACACCCACTCGCCCATGGGAAGGAGGACACACCGGACAGCTGCTCCTATCCACCTCCCACGCGACCTTGGAGAGTCTGGAGCTCAAGGCCTGGGAGAGCCCCGGAGTCAGGGTGGACGTAAAGGCGTAGACCCACCTGAGCTGACCCGGGACGCGCCCCTCCCCCCACCCACCCTCAGAACTCGCATGCTCACAACGACGGCCTCCCCAGGGAATTCCCCTACAAGGCGAATCCAGGCTTCTGGCTGCGAGCTTTCAAGGGGCGTCGCCAAAGATCCCACACTCAGCCAAGCAGCACCAGCGACACAATTGCGAAGGCAGCTTCTTGCAAGGCACCGGTGTCGCTGTGGCCTTGCCCGAGCCGAGCGAGGGGTGAGAGGAATTCCATGAAAGCCTTCCCGAGGCACACCGAATGGGGGACACCCCCAACTGCGGCTATCGTGTTGAAGTGCCTATTCCGCACGAAAAGATTGCAACCGCCCCCCGGTCTTATAGCACCTAATAACCAAGGTCCCCCTTGTAATAAATGTGGTTTTCCAACACCTGCCCTCAGTCAGCAAGCACTACGTACTTTTTGGAACAGAAGAACAGGTTGCGGCTCCACCAGAAGTGAACAACAACACGCCAAACCTGGAACTGGGGACCCCTAATAAAGAGAAGATACTGTTTCCAGTGGGGATGGTTTCATTGGGGGGGGGGGATTTTCTGCTCTTGGACCCTTGGGGCCTTCAAGGAAGTCGTCCGCCTTGATGAGGAACTCCGCTGCGAACTCGTCCAGCATGGGCTGCTGGATGGCCCTCAGCGTCACGTGGGTGCTTCTCAAAATGGATTTCAGACCCGCTTTTGGCTGGAATTTCAACTGAAACCAAGCAGGAATCCACCAGTTTTGGGGGACCCCTGGTTTGAGAACAACCAGGCGGCAAGCGAATGCCCCCTGTTTGCCCGGACCTCCAGCGCAACCTGCCTGAGTCTTTGGCGAGCTCATTGATGAGCATTGTAGGGCAACTTGTGAACGCCACGTCGCACACATCTATGACCGCTTTAGACAAGGCCGCTTCAAACCTGCTGTTCCCTGAGCAACACCAGTGTCAAACCACCGAAAACCTGCAAACATCCAATGGACTTCCTGCGTCCCCCCACGTCTCACCAAGTCAATACAAAAGTGATTGGTTTGGGGCGTTGCCAAGTTGATGCAACTTGCCACAGCTCACAATATAATTCAAACCAATTCAAAAGGCACCCTTCCAGTGCCACAGTGAACATGCCGCTCCAGTCAAAAACCCAGTGCCATCCATGCCATTCCAATGATTTTCCCGTGAAAGTGCCACTCCAGTAAAAACCCAGTGCCATTTCAGTGAAAATCCAAGCACAACTCCAGTGAAAATCCCGCTACGCCGACGAAAATCCAGTGACACTGGCTTGATTTGCACTTGGAAGCATGCAGCAGCGCCGCAAATTCGCGCCAAACCCTGCGAAAAGCGACTCATGGGCCAAGCCGCTCGAGAATTGCAAAGGCCCAGGCCGAGTTGGTCAAGTCCTGCAAGGGCCAAATTGCCGCCATGAGCAAAGCCCCAAACCTGACTATGACAGCCATCACCGGATCAGATTGAGCCGGCGCAATCCTGCAACTCGAACTCCTGAGCCACGCCGTTCTCGCCGGCACATTGGGCCAGCACTTCTGCCAGTTGCGGGGGGCGCACAGATAGGGCGGCATGGGCCCAGCAGAAGTTGGATCGGTGCTGCGCCGTGGCCTCTGCCAACTGAGTCCCAAAGCGCTCAGCCAGCAGGCCCATCAGCGGCTCGTCCAGAAGCACCAGCTTGGCAAAGGCCCAGGCGGTGTTGGCCAGGCCCTGCACATCCAGGTGCTCCACCAAGGCAAGCGAGGCCGTCCGCGCACGCAGCGCGGTGAAGAGGGGATCATGAAAAAGCTCCAGCCTGGGTTGACAAGCTTACAAGAAATTGAAGTCTGCAGGGTGCCAAGCTTACAGGCTTGAAGTTGGTCAAAAAAAAAGAGCAACCAAGCAACATGGCATGGGCCCAGAAGACGTTGGCGCACTCCTGGCAGTCCATGGATCCCACGCCCTCTGAAAGCATCCGCGTAGCCATGTCATCAAAAAGGGGCAGGTTCAAGTAGCTCATCTTGCCGCAGGCCCAGCAAATGCTTGCCAAGCTCACAGGCTCAGTGCCCGCTCTCACCAGGTGGTGAATGCGGTGGATCAGCCGCCTTGCGGAAGGGCGCAGCGCCAATTCAAACCTTGCAAAAGCATTTGAACCCCCCATGATGATCACCCCCGCTCGTGCTCATCAAAGAAACGGATGGGCCGCGTCCCCGTAAGCCAGCCACATTGCTCTCTGAAATGTCCAATTGAACTACTGCCCACAAAGCAAAGCACATTGAGCAACATCCGCCCTTCCCGACTTCCCCCAGTCCCCCCGCGCCTGAGCTCGGGCCGGTCCGCCTCCGAGCGGTCGCCCAGCCGCGCCACCCGGTGCAGCGCGGTGCAGCAGTTCACCGCCGAGAGCTCCGAGAGCCTCTCCCCGCAGAGGCTCAGCACGCCTCCCGGCGCTGAAAACCCCAAGTCTCCTGCTTGGTTGGGAGAAAGTCGGGCGCGGGGGGAGTGGGGGGGGGGCGGGGGAGCGAGTTCCTTGACAATGAGGAGAAAATAAGAAAACCCCAAGCTTCTGGACAGAGCCGATACTTCAAGTGCCAAAGTCGTAAAGCCGACGTTTTGAGCTGCAGGGTGACGAATGGGAGGTGAACAAGGAGTTCGCTAATGTTGCTGCCGGTGTTGTCCCCCCAAATGAGTTCATTAGTCGTTCCTATGCAGGACGTTGCAGGACCATCTCAAGTGGCAGTTGGTCTAAACTGCTAAGTAGTGGTCAGGATGTCACCCTACAGCTACTCAGTACTAAGTTCCGCTGTCTAAGTACGCTCTTCTCAATTTTGCCCCCAAAGATGCTGACCAGGAGATTCCGCAGAGCCCGGCGCCGAGCCGGCAGCCGCTGCCGCTTCCCCGCTTCCCGTTGCGGACTTCGGCCCGTCGGCGCGCCTGGAGCAGCGCTTTGAGCGACCAGGCCCTGCGCCAGTGTCAGGTCCCACCAGGAGGGCGACTGCCAACCCTTCCGGCGCCGCCACTCGCGAGAGGAGGTCCCTGCGCGAACCCAGGACTTGGGTCCGAAACCACTGCGTGCGTGCGAAACGGGGAGAGGGGATGTGCAGACTTAGGGAACCGGGCCAAGCCTTTGTCAGGCTCACAAGGGAAATGGAGGGCAACCCACCACAAAGCAACAACGCATAAAAATTCGCATGGAAAGTCAACTGAGTAGCTCGCGGGCGACTGCTGTGGGGTTTTGGAAGCTTGACCGCCTCTCGCTACAATCTCATGTTCTCCATGGCGAGCTCGAGTCCAATGAGCGAAATCATGCGAGTCAAGATTGGCTCCTAGGAAACTTCTTCAGCCAAGGCACGGCTGTTCGAGTGCCCAATGAAGCCGCCGGCATCCATGCCGTGCGGAAGCCATGCTGCATCGGGGCCAGGGGGATCAGCGCGGGTGGCTATGGCATTGGGGGCCAGGCGTCTGACATCTCGAGGGCCGTCAACAGCGGAGTTGAGTGTTCATTTCTTGCACGTGCAACCTCGCGGTTCTATGAGGGTGTGGGTCCCATTTACCAGGGTTCCATTTTGGGTACATTTGTTTTGACCCACAGCCATGATACGTCAAAACTGGGAACTGTTCCAACCGGGCTTGGTCCCTAATAAGAAGTTCGACTCGTTTTTTACGCACCATCCCACCATAGAAGCTGAGCCGGCAGCCTCAGCCACGGAGTTTCGGACCAGGGCTCCTGGGGATGCGGATCGAGCAGATTCCAACACCCGTCGACTTTTGGACCATGCTGACAATCATGATGGTTTCTTTGTGCCTTCCTAAGGTCCCCAAACCTTTTGCCAAAATGAGTCAAAATGGCCGTTGGCGGTTGTGGGCGTCATTGCTTGGTTGGGGGCGGAACGCTGCTGACTAGGGAGGCCCTGACTGGTGCAGCAACCTTTCCGCAAGCCCGACACTCGGACGCGCCTTGCAGCATCTGCCGCAGAGACGCCTCCGACTGCTGCAGGCGGCTCCAAACGGCAGACTGCCCAGCTGCAAGGCTGGGCCGTAGCCTCGGGCTGCTTCACCGCTTTGGTTGCTACATCAGCTTCCACTGGCGTGGTTTGGAAACGGCCAAGGCCGTTTCACGATTTACACCCCCAACCACTTCGGCAAAGGGTGGGCTGACCTGCTCCATTCCAAAAGCTTCGCAAGCTTCTCATCCCGCGCCTGATGTGTGGATCCACCTCTGTGATGGCATTGCCCTGAAGCAGCAACCCGCCCGGCGCCACCTCGAGCTGCACTTCAGACATCCCGCGGGATCCCAAAGTGCACCGGCCACATGGAAGCCCAACTTCTCCCAAAGTGCACCGGCCATATCGCCCAACTTTTCCCAGCTGATTCAGAACGCTGCCTTCTTGGAAACAGGAAACATGGACTACGCCGTTTCGAGACATCCTCCAAACCCCCCGGCGCGAGCGAGCCGGATGCCGCGCTTCCAGCCTGGACTCGCGGCACCAGCAATCCCCAAACCCCCAGTCGCTGTGAGAAGTGCTGCAGCAGGTCGCCTTGGGTCGAAGCGGCCTACTGCCAGAATGGGATTGCCAGATCTTGCCATGGATCTTCCTTCCATGCCTACCATCTACAATTCTCTGAAAATGTCCTTGCCCTTGTCCCATACAGGATCGCTCACCTTGCCCTGCTTGCTGCACCAAACATGGATTCACGCAATGTCGGCCCGTTCGCCTTGCACAAAGCCTGCAAAAACCAACAGCTCACGGCCGTACAAGCCAAGCGGCTGTGAATGGAGGTGCACAAAGCTTCCAGCGCACCACCATCAACCTGTGAGAACTCGTCACGTGGAAACACTGGAGCATTCGAAGTGCCTAAATTGCAGACTTGCGATTGCACCAAATTGCACCATCTCAAATCTTGATGTCCCAGTACTGGCCTCCCAGTCGCGACGCCTGCCGGCAGAAAAGCTCGTCTTCATTTCGGCGCGCAGGTGATGAGGGTTCACTTTGCAAGCGCAACGTTCATTGAACAGCAAGGGAAACTGCCGGCATCCTCTTGGTAGACTACTTGGTTGCTGTTGACCCCTCTGCAAAAAGTTTAACTTTTTGTGGGTTTAATGGAAAACCCCTGGATTTCCCAAAAAGTTAAAGTCTAAAAATCCAACCCAACAGCAAGTAGAGACACACGGTGCAAACCTTCGTCCCAGTTCCAATTGACCGACCTGCCTCCGCCTTGGGAGGTTCCACAAGCGCCGCTCCCATGGAGTAATCTGCTCCTCGACTGGGCTCGGCTTTGGGCCCAGGTCAGCCACTCCGCACCTTCGTTGTGAAAAGGCCACAGCAAAAATGTCGACCATCACCCGGGAATGACTTCGTGAGAGATCTCAAACACTTTGCATACATCATACCGCCGGACCAGGCACTAAGCACTAAGGCACCATTCCTGCCTTGACCTCTCACGAGGGGCGATGGGCCGGGGTGCAACTAGCAGTCAAGCCCTTGTTTTCCATGCCCTCCTGGCATTCCAGGGGGATATCATAAAGAAGAAAAAGACGTACCCCCCCCCGAAGTGCGCAGACCCTTGTAGAAAGACGACTTTCTTCTTGGAACAGACGGTTTGCGCACTCCCCATGTCATGGCGCGCAAGTACGTCAAACAAATCCCCCCCATTTCGCTCAGCCAAAACCCGGCCAGCGCCAGCGGATTTGGCGTCGGCCAAGGCGCCGCGCCGGCTCGGGCCAGAGGAAGGGCCGAGGGCGCAGGCGCAGGCGCTGGCGGCAGATCGCCAAAGGAGCGGCGCCTCGGATTTCCCCGATTCATGGTTGATTGATGGGTTGATTGACTTGTGTGTGTGTGTCTATATATATATATAAATAGATATATATATATATAGAGAGAGAGAGAGAGAGATCCATTGAGTGGTTGGTTGAGTTGAGTTGAGTTGAGTTGAGTTGAGTTGAGTTGAGTTGGTTTGGGTTGTGTTGTGCTGGGCTGGTTGGTTGGTAGGTTGGTTGGTAGGTTGGTTCGTTGGTTCGTTGATTGAGTTGGTTGATGAATTGATTGATTTGATTGATTGATTGATTGATTGATTGATTGATTGATTGATTGATTGATTGATTGATTGATTGACTGAGTGCTTGGTTGGTTGATTGGTAGGTTCGTCACAACTCACGGCCTGCTCTGCAACCGCGTGTCAGCCTCTACGGCAGAGCTCGCCCTCCAAACACTCGCAGCACCAAGGACAGGTCATTGACAGCCTGGCCGTCAGTTTGCCACTGCTCTGGTCCTGGCTTCCGATATCAAACAAAACGTCACACATATCCTGCAGCTTCTTCCTCCGCTCCCCCCGCCCCATTGAAATTCAGTGCCATCTCAGCCCAGGGCAAATCATGTCCGCTCTCCCCGTGCCAGGGCCGGTCACGAGCGGCCTCGGCCACAGCAATCTTGACACTTGACTATCAGCAGGCCAAGCCCATGACTAGCCACACCAGCGTGTCCACGGCGACCGCAACATCACGACGCTCATCCTTCCTTTGCTCTTCTCGACGCAGAAAATCCAAGCAAGACCTGGCGCAGGTGTGGCATCCCTGGTGCGCCCCTGGCCATCGCAAAATGGGCGCAGCGCTCGTCCAGAAACTTTTGGCTCTTCAAAGAGATGCCCCTCCTGGCACGGGTTAAATCCCTCCGCAGGTTGGAAGGTGACTGACACAATCTCTTTCTAGTGGCTGCAACGGATGCGTTCGGTCCTCAAAGGGCCCAGGCGATCCGCAGGAAGAGTCGGGACAACCGTCCGCCTGGCTGAGATATCAACAGGATCTGCCACTTCTGCTTCTCTTTCCCTCTGCCTCCGCTTGGCTGCAGGCATATGCAGCTCAATGACCTGGTGAGTGGCAGGCGAGTGGACAGGCCCCAAGCAGCTAGCAAGAGCCTCAGCAATGGGAAGATCCTTGTGTTGCTGCTTGGGCAAGGAGATTTCCAACCGCCACAGCGACAACCTTGGCAAATTCCGAGCAAATCATGCGCAGCGCGAATGCGAAAGCAACCGAAATGGCGCAACGCTCTCTGCTTGTCGGCAAGTTCCTCGCACCGGCAAGCTAGTTTTGGTGGCTTCAGGCTGCCTGGCAGCTTTGGGGCCGCTATGCCCCAGTACAAAAAGCAGCTGAGTGGCAAAGGAAGCAGCAGGGAGCAAAAGTTCTCCTGGCATGCACGGTACAACTCCGCGCCTTTGCATGGCCACCTTCAGGCGAAGAATCAAAAGTTCCCTTAGCCGGGGCTTCTGGAGCACTAACCCACCCAGGCCACACTATCTGACACAACATGCAAAAACAAAAGGGGCTCCAGGTAATTCCTGAATGACGGGGCTCACGGATCCGACCGGGCCTAGCATACCCACATGATTCTGTGTTTCGAGGGTGCCCTTTCAGATTGACCCTTTTTGGAACATAGGGGAACTAACAGGAAACCGCGTTGTTGTTGTTGTCGTCGTCGTCGCTGTGGCTGTGGCTGTGGCCGTTGCTGTTGCTGTTGCTG